CTGGCTCAAAACGCCCAGTGCCTGTGCAGCGTGTGAAAAGGTTAGCGCAGTTAAACCTCTCCCCATGAATAGGATTAACGTCGTTCACAAGGAGAATGGAGAGATAACCCAAGCATGGGACGATGTTACAGGAAACGAACTTGATCCTGAACTAATAATGAAAGCGCGTCAGGAAGAGATGGAGCAGTTTAGAAAGCGCAGAGTTTACGAGAAAGTGACAGAAGAAGCGCGCTGGCAAGTCACGGGGAAGGCGCCCATTGGAACCAGATGGATAGATATTAACAAAGGAGATGAATTAAGCCCTGACCACAGGTCAAGGCTAGTGGCCCAACAAGTTAAATACAACTCCAAAGAAAAGAATATATTTGCGGCTACGCCCCCACTGGAAGCACAGAAGCTACTCTTCTCAATGGCGGTTACCGAAGGAGTGGGATTTAAGAAAGGCGAGCGCGAGAAAGGATTAAAGCTGGCATTCATTGACACTAAACGAGCTTACTTTTACGCTTCTGCGAAGAAATACATATTTATCAGGCTACCGGACGAGGATTACGAGCCGGGCATGTGTGGAAAGTTACTGAAGTCAATGTATGGAACAAGAGATGCGGCAAGCAACTGGGAAGACTGTTACATGGACTTTGCCATTAAAGTTTGGTTCAAGAGTGGAGTTGCGTCGCCGTGCGTGTTTAAGCACGAGACCCGAGCCCTATGGTTAACGGTCCATGGGGATGACTTTGCTCTACTAGGTGGTGACCTTGATCTCGATTGGTTTGAAAATAGAATAAAGGAGGAGTTTGAGGTAAAAGTGAGAGGACGGCTTGGACCGGGGGAGGAAGACATGAAGGCGATCAGGATTCTTGACAGGATTGTGGAGTGGACTGAGGAAGGATTGAGATATGAGGGTGATCAAAGGCTTGCGGAAATAATTGTGAAAGAGCTTGAACTTGTGGGAGTAAAAGTGAGGACTGAGGTGCCAGGTGAACGCATTCCAGTTGAAGAGGGAGACGAGATAGAACTTTCGCCCAGCATGACTAAGCGATATCAGGCATTAACGGCTAGAGCGAATTATTTAGCTCAAGACAGATCGGACATACAGTATTCAGTAAAAGAACCCGCTAGGACCATGTCAAAGCCAACTATGGGTTCGTGGAAAGGTCTAGTCAAGCTAGGAAAGTATTTGAAGTATCACAGCAGAAAGCAGTTACGTGTATCAGTATCAAGAACAGCCTCGAGAGTTGACGATTTGGACGGACACAGATTACGCAGGATGTAAACGAACTAGGAAGTCTACGAGTGGAGGAGTAGTGATGTGGGGTAACCACCTTATAAAATCTTGGAGCACAACTCAAAGTGTAATTGCATTATCGTCAGGGGAAGCAGAATATTACGGGCTTGTGAAAGGAGGGTCAGTCGGACTAGGACTTCAGGCAGTGTTGAGGGATTTTAACTTGGAAGTTGAGATCACCTTGAAAAGTGACGCCACGGCTGCAATCGCAATTGCGAGTAGACGAGGTTTAGGAAAAGTAAGACACATTGAAGTATGTCAACTGTGGCTGCAGCAGAAGGTAAAGGAGGGAGTGATTCGAATTGTGAAAGTAGGTACACATGAGAACGTAGCAGATGCATTAACCAAGTATGTCAGTCGTGAGAGCATGAGCACACACCTGCTAAACACAAACCAAAGTGCATTAACAGGTCGGCACAGCCTTGCGCCGGCCACCGAGTGTTGACATCCGCAGCTCATTTCTGTCAAGCAAGCAGTCTTGATTAAGGTTCCTCCATCCTTTACCTCTTCCCCTCGAGCGTGAACGAAAGCATGGCGGACCATCAAGTCAACGTCACGATCGACGGCGCGGCGGTCGACCAGAGCCCGCCTGGGGCAGGACCGGTTACGCGCGAGAACCTCAATCGCCGTGTCGACGATATCGTCAACGTGGCTCATGCGTTTACCGTGACCCTCACAAACATGGCCATTAACTTCCACGGGGCCTATGATAAGCACGTTGACGAGATGCAGAGGGTTGCCGATGACATGGCGCGGAGGATCGTTGACTTAACGCAGCAGAACACCGCGTTGGTTCACGCCAATGACGATGTCAACGAGAACCTCAAGAGGGCGCAGGACGAGGTTAACAACCTTGTGGCGACGGTGACAGAGTTGAACATCAAGAATCGCGACTCGGAGGTTAACACGGCGGAGAATGCAACCAAGTACTGGCGCATTAACGAAAATATCGGTTGCCTCTTGAATACCGCCAGGCGCCTTACCGAGAATATCACGCCCCTGCAGGACTTCGAAGGTAAACGTGATGCGGCGCTACGTATGCTAGTGGGAGTTACCGAGAGGCCTGAGGGTTTGCAGAAGTTCTTGGATGACCCGATCAACTCCTCGGTTACCGATATTCCGCAGGTGCCGCCGCCGTTACTTGGGTCGCCCCCGACGGCAGCACCCGCCAAGGCGCCGCCCGTTGCCGCCGCCGCGGCAGTCGGGCCCATGGCCACGGGCGCGCCCCCAGCGCAGCAGGTTAACGTCGCTCCGCCAGGCAAGGCTCCCCCTACTCAGGACCTGGCCGGCGTAACCGCTAAAGCCGGGGGGAGTCGGCGGTCCGTGTCACCGAACAAAATTCGACCGTCACCGTTGAGCCGGCAGGGCGGTGAAGAGCCACAGCCTGTTTACAAGCGGGCGCCGAAGGCCATGCGTGAACGTCAACGGGAGCTGGAGGAGTTGATGCAGATAGGCATGAAGATGGACGAGGATCGAACGGTTGGTGGTCAACGTGATGAGGCGCCAAAGGATCCTGCCCCCGTCGTACATGCGAGGCCGGCCAAGCCGCCCCCTCCGGGGCTCGGCGAGTCCAGAGCGGCAAGCAGCGTTACCGGCGTGAAGCCCCCGCCTCCAGAGCCCAAGAGGTTACCGATCCAGCACGTCCCGCCACCGCAGCCTCAAGTCGTTAACCGCACGACTGATCAGGTTGAGGGGTACTCCAGGACCGTCGCCAAGGCGGTGTGCCGCCCGCTACACCACGTCAACGGTCGCATGTCCATGCTGAACGACAGGAGCGACGACTACGACGTTAACTTTCGGGCGGAACCTGACCCCAGGGAGGTGGTAGCCTTAACGATGAAGACACGTGATAACTGGCGCAGGTTTGAGGGTAACTTCGTCGGGCACGTGGCGAAGGCGGGGTGAACGACCCCTGGCGGCAGGTCCATTCAGGGCAACACCGGGCGGGAGCTTAACGATTACGAGGACGTGTTCGTTGACATCTTCGGCCAACACGCTTACGGCTTCATCGGCTATGCCGTGTTGAAAGGTCCGATCAGCTGGAGATCTCAGTTAACGGACAAAGAGTTGACCAAGCATGATGAATGGGTTGACGCGGTTGGGCACGTGCAGTCCCTATTTGACGATGACTACGTGCCACCGCTCTACCTTAACGAGCTTCACTCATCGTGGTTTGAGCACCACAGTTGCCCGGACACGCAGGTGTACGTCAACAAGGTGCCGGAGATGAACGAGAAGCAGCTTAACGGTCTTCTCTTAACGTGGGCAGGAATGCTGCCCCACGGCAACCCCACCGTGATCTCCGTTAAGCACCTGGTGGAGGACACCCATGGGCCGCACGGTTACATCTCGACTGGAGTTACCGTGATTCGCTTTGCGACGCCCGATCTCGCCAGGCTTTACTGCCGTTGCATGAACGGGCTCCAGGTGCATTACCGTAACTATTTCATCGACGACCTCGAGGTCAGGAGCACCGCGGAGTTAAAGGGCAGTATCAGCAAGCCTCCAGTCTACTGGCACCAGACCATCTTGGAAGTTGCCCTTAACGATCAGGGATCCATGAGGGCACTTTACCGTGATAGTTGGCCGGCCGATCATGTCACCGAGCGTAAAAGCGATCACCGTGAGAAGCTTTGCTGGTTTGGCTGGTTACCGTGCGACGACTTCCCCAACTGGCTTACCGATCCGGCCTGGACTGTGAACCCGTTTACCGGCGCTGCGGTCGAAGAGCACCTCCGTAACAATCCAGGCGGTGGGCCTCTGTTAAAGGCTCCCCACGCTAGTTATTGGAGAGCCATCGGCACTTACCACAACATCGTTGACGGCTCAATTAAGAGCTACGATGAGGGGTGCTGGCTTGACGACGAGGAGCGCATTAACGCGCACATGGACAACGACTACTACAGCCCGATGCAGGCCCTTAACAGGGTGTCGTCCTACACCGCAGCCGGCGTGGGCCATCGCGGGTTACCGAGGTCGAGGGGTTCGCGAGCCCCGTCGGCGAGGCGCCCGCGCCGTCCGTGAAAGATGGCAGGCAGTCAGCATGCTGCAGTTCACGCTCTTCCTCATCTCCCCTCTTAACTTGGCTTAACGATCGAATGGCGGCAGCTTGTTGAGCTGAGTTTGTTTGCATGCGCATCTCTTGTTGTTACCGCAGGTATTGGCGAATAAAAAGCGAAAGCAATCAAAATCATCCAAATGCTAGCCTGCTGTGTAAACTTTAGATGCTTCGTTTGAACTTGTGACGGCACAAGCGTTTACTCGAGCTCAGGTTACACGTGTGAGAAACTTGGTGCTCGTAAGCGCCGTCGCGAGACATTTCGAATTCCACAGTGTGATGAAGAGACTTAACGTCATTTGCGTGCGACGTTTTGTATAGTTTGACTTGTTTTTGTGATTGTAGACGCCTCCCCGTCAGCCTATGCGGACTAGCGTCCGAGGGGGGGTGTTAACATGTAAGCATTCAGGTGACCGGGGAGTGAAGGTGCCCCCGTTACCTTTGGCTCAAGTGTTTAACGGCTGAAGCTACCGAGACTCGCTTCGCCGTGCGGAAGTAAAAAAGGTGACCGATCGTCATCGCTGTCACCGAGCTCCCGCGCAGAACCCTCCTCGGGGTTCTGCGGGGGGGCCGTCCGAACAGAGGCCGCGCGAGGTCTCCTCAGCAGGACCCCCCCCCCTCTCTGGCTCGAGCTGCCTGGCCAGCAGGGCCTGAAACTGAATGTGGCTGAGGGCGGCAAGCACGGCCTCTCGGGGCCGCGCGGCCCTGTCCATGTCCAACGTCGACGGCCCAGATGCCCCGACGAGGCACCGAGCCGAGCACATCTCATCCTCATCCTCATCATCATCGTCATCATCATCGTCGTCGTCGTCGTCGTCATCGTCATCGTCATCATCAGCATCACCATCACCAGCATCAGCATCCGCATCAGCATCAGCACCAGCACAATCAGCATCAGCATCAGCATCGGCATCAGCAGCCTCAGCATCAACGTCAGCATCATCAGCGTCGTCATCATCATCATCATCAGCATCATCATCATTATCATCAGCATCATCATCAGCATCATCATCAGCAGCACCATCATCATACTGATCATCTGTATCATCAACGTGAACATCATCATCCGCAGCATCAGCATACGCACCAACGTCATCATCATTGTCACCAGCATCAACATGATTTCCGTCGTTGTTGTCGTCGTCATCATCATCAGCACCAGCATCAGTATCATCATCATCGTCATCATCGTCGCCGTCGTCGTCGTCGGTTTCGCCATGAGCAGCATCACAATCGTTTCAGCACCATCATTAGCATCATCAGCCTCATCATCACCATCGTCATCGCAGTCGTCGCCCTCGCCATCGCTACCTCACCTTCACCATTAGCATCAACATCAGCAATATCATCATCGACGGCGTCGCCGCCCCCATCATCATCACCTCATCATCAGCACCATCCGCATATCATCGTACTATCATCGCCATCGCCATTCTCATCATGCCACCACCATCTCTCCATCATGTCTTCATCATACCATCGCCATCATCAACACCATCATTTCACCATCATACCGTCACCTTCACCATCATGCCACCATCACCTCACCACCATCATCAGCAGATCCTCGCCGTACCATCATGATATCGTCACCATCATCATCAGCATCACCATCATCAGCATCCCACCGTCATATCATCATCAGCACCACCAGCATCATCGTCGCCGTCGTCGTTGTCGCCGTCACCATCACCACGTCATTGTTATCACCGTCCTCATCGACATCATTATCAACCTATGGCAATGATGGCAACACAACCAAGGCCGTCATCATATCTTCACTGTACCATCGGCACTTCATCATCATGATCAACATGATCATTATACACATTGTTGGCATCTGTCATATCATCATATCATCGTCTCATCACATCATCATCGTACCATCTTTTGACCACCATAATATCTTCATATCGTCGTCCTCGTATCATCATATTATAACTCTCATAACTTCACCATTTCCATCACCATACCGCCATCATATCGCCACCATAGCGTCATCATCACATTATTAGACCGGCATCACTATCACCATCACCATCATATCGTAACCATATCATCATTTCACCGTGGCAGCACCATCATAATCCTCATCATCACCATCTTCTTCCTCCTCATCATCAACCTCTTCCTCATCATCTTCATCTGCATCATTCGTCAGTAAGGGCTTCGCCCCCATGCCCGCGGCCCCCCTCTCTCATAATGGGGCTTGCCAGAGCTGTGTTGGGATGTCTGGGTGCTGACGTGAAGACATGTCGGGACTTCACGCGAGGGCCAATTTTTAATTTACGAGGGGTTCTAGCTTCGGTGGCGCGAATATTAGTTAATGTGCTATGGTTTATGGCTTCGGAGACGCGAACATGGCGTACTATAGGAGGGTATGTGGCCTCGGGGACGCAACTATTGCATAATTTGCGAGGGTTTATGGCCTCGGGGGCGCCATTCTTGTGTAATCTAAAAGGGTTTTATGGCCTCGAGGACGCTATAACGTCTAATTTGCAAGGGTTTGTGGTCTCGGGGACGCAATTATGGTGTAATTTACGAAGGCTTATGGCTCTGGGGACACGAATATGGTAATGTTCGAAGGTTTTGGTTTTGGGGGCGCGAATCTCATGTAATTTTCATGGGTTTATGGTCTCGGGGGCGCGAGCATTTTGTAATTTACGAGGGCTTATGGCTTCGGGGACGCAACTAGCGTATGATTTACAACGGATTATGGTTCTGGGGACGCGAATATTTTGTAAATTACGAGGGTTTCTGGCTTCGGAGACGAGAATATAGCATACTTTAAACGGATTGTGACTTCGGGGGCGCGAGTCTCACGTATTGTTACGTGTCCCACGCCCCCCCAGGAATTCAGACAACGCGATCTGGGCATGGTAAAAATTGTTGGTTTGGGGCTCCCCAACTCGCGCCTTCAGCAACAATTTGCAGTAAAGAAGGCGAAAGCAGGACTGTAACAGTGGAAACTGGAAGCTGCAACTTGAACAGTGAGCTGCAATCCTCACCCTCGCAGCCTGGGCCCCGCAAGGGGGCCGGCGGATCATCGTCAACGGAGGCGCCCCGAGCCGAGCACGTGGGGCGTCGGTGCGCTGCTGGCCGTCTGCGACCACCTCGAGCTGGTGGCGCGTCTGGTCCGGGGCCAGGCCGCCGCGCAGGGCGGGGGCGAGGGCGGGGAGCTGGGGGAGCTCCTCGCCGCGCTCTCCAGGAGCCGTGCCGCCCTCGGGGAGCCTCCGCCCGGGGTCGGACGAGTGGCAGCGCCAGGGCGCAGAGGCCACGGAGGAGAAGGCGTGGCCGTGGCACAGCTCGACGCCGAGCGGCGCCTCCGAAGCCAGCTTCGCCGTGCCCAGCTCCGCGGCGCAGCACGGAGGAGAGGTCGAGGGGCAGACCGCTGGCGTCGGCGAGGGTGTCTTCGGGGCAAGGCCTCGCATGCAGTCGCCCGAGGTGCCGAAGGGGAAGAGGTCTAGCAGGGCCAGCAGCGGGTCGCTGGTGAGTTTTTTCCGGCGAGGAGAACTCCAAACGGATGACGAAGACCATAACGTACAGAAACCCAGCCCTGCGGACGATCGAGCGGAAAGTGAAATCTTATTGGATGGAGTGTGTCAGCGCCTGTCTCATAGCGGCCAACACCATGTTCATGGTTTTGGAGGGCCAGTTCGTGGGCGCGAAGGTCGGGCATGAGATCGGTGTCTATTCAACTGGATTTTCCCACATCCGCCAGCCTCTTCAGTCCGCTCGTTCTTGGATTTAGGCAGGTGCTCCTCCTCATCACCCCTCCTGTCTTGTCCATTTGCTGTTGCTGCTGTCTGCTGGTTGCTGTTGGTGATCGCTGCTTCTGCTTGCAGCTGCTGCTGATGCTTGATGCTGCTGCTTGCTGCAGCCGATCACATTTTGCTGCTGCTTGCTGCTGATACCTGCTACGATTTTGGTTCTGCTTGTGGTGGTTTTGCTGATGCGATGGTATCGGGAAACTCTTCGCGATTCCTGGGGATCTCGAGGCGCCGTCTTAGACTATCTTGGCGCCCTTCGGGGTCCTTCGTTTGCCAACTTGGGGCTCTCTTGGGATCATCTTCGGGGGCTCCTTGGAGCATCCCGAGACAGATCTTGTCCCACAAAATGGTTTGGTGCCATCTACTGGCGCGGTGTCCGCGCCAGCACAGGGCGAAACGGACATGGCGCAGCCACGACCAGTGCCGAGCGGGCGGCGGCGGCGGGTGACGCGACCCGTCCCACGAAAACCGCCCCGCTCCAGCCCTTGCGATACCGCGACAGGTCCACAACACCAAGTACCGACCAGGGCGGTGAGGGTGGGAGCAAAGGCGGGCACGCGCGGCGCTCCTGAATCATATATGAATTATTCACCTGCGCCGCACCAAGGCCCACGGCCGCACGCGCGGGGCGTTCTGCGCGCTTACCCATGTACTTGCGATTGTTCTCGGCGGCGGGGGCATGTGTCGCTGCGCCCTCCCCCGTGCGCGCCCCGCCTGATCCGTCTGCTAGGTATGCCCGCCTGCGACACGCGCGCGCGGCGCCCAGCGCTCCGTGGGCGCGCGCCGCGCGATGAGGCACCTATTGTATTTTGTGACCATCCACAACCTTCGCCTTTGAATCCGCCGCAACATAGTTCGGTGCCATCTACTGGCGCGGTGTCCGCGCTGGCATAGGGCGAAGCGGACATGGCGCAGCCAGGACCAGCGCCGAGCGGGCGGCGGCGGCTGGTGACGCACCCGTCCCACGAACGCCGCCCAATGCTTCGCGGTGCCCAGTCGCGACGCCCACTCGCGCCGCACGCACCTCAAGCCTCCTGCTCGCTAGGAGGGTGCCGCGGTGGCTGCGGCAGCAGCAGGAGGGAGGACCAAGCGCGGGGGGGAGGCCCGTAGACAACGGGTGGGGTGAACGGGGCTACCCCCCGCTGGTGTTGGATTTGTCCAGGGTGACTGCGCTATCGTCAGGTGATGCCTTTAGCATGCTTCTTCTGGGCGGCACTTCTGAGGCCTGCTGAAGCTTTCTGGGGCTCTTGTGGTTCCCTGGGGGCTGTCTTGGGGCCTCCTCGGGGCCTCTGCGGAGCCCGTTGGCGGTCTCGGGGGTCCTCTTGAGCATTCTTGGGCGCTGCTAGGCCGTCTTGGGGCCCCCATTGAGCCATCTTGAGGCCACCTTCGGAACCTCTTGGGCCGTCTTGGGCGATCAGGGGGG